TGTTCTTTTTGCGGATACAGACTAACACGGCTGCTACTCTGAAACCTGATAAATGTTCCCATTGCTGCTACTACTGGTTCAGCTCCAATAGCGAAGACAATGGTGGGACATTTTAGCAAAAACAATCTTGGCACAAGATGTTCAAAGTTAATTAACACTCCATTGTAAGCAAGTTCTGATGCACTCTAAGAAGATTAGGAGTAAGTTATCAGCCACCATGTAGATAATAAATGATACACTCCAAGGGGATTATTACCCCTCTCTCTCTCTTTATTTCTGGTTGGGTGGGGAGAAGGAAGAGAAGCAAAAGAAGTTGCCACCAGTACTTACAGGGGAAAGCAAGGAGAGAACAGGGGAGAGGAAACCTTAGTTGCTGATATTACTACAGCTGGTCTCTGCTGGTAAGAGACACCAACCAGAGACTCCCCACCCACCAGCTGCCAGTGCCACCTGCAACTGGAAGAGCAACCAGGAAGAGGTATTTTCTCAGGAAAGTCCTCTCCTGTTCTAGAGAAACTCCATGTAACTGGGTTACACACTACACCTGTTTAGAAGAAGGCAACTGGAGCTAAAATCATGCATTAAAATTCAGGGTAATTACTGCTGAGTCATGATGGTAGGTGGGTCCAGTAGCTCCAGTGTGAATACATTATTTGTAGTACCTAGGGACACTGACCAAGATTGAGACCATGTTGTGCCAGGCACTGTACAAGTCAGGAGGTAAGCTCTTCAGAGCAGCGATTGTCTCTCTTCTAATAGCAAGTGTCTGTGATGGGAGTGTCTGTGCCAGAAAGAATTAAGCCAGAGGTGGTCTTACAGATAATCCTAACAACAGCCACATTTGAGAAGCAGCTTAAGTTGAGGTTTACACAGTGTTATTTCCAGGTTACCAATAAAGCCAAACCCCCAGAAGGGGTAGGATTTTGGAAACTAACTGTTCTCTTCACTTGCACAGCTTCAGCATCTTCTCTAGGCACTACTATGCCTTCCTCAGCTGTGTAATAGAGCTATCTCTATAAAATAGTTGCAAAACCCTGCATAACTTGCCCCCAGCACTCAGGAACTCACAGCATGAAATCTGCTCAATTTATTTAAAAACCTGCCCCTCCCTCCTTCCCCACAAATAATTCTAATTTTAAAAAGCTGTTGCTTTAATCATGAGAGGGGTAGAGGGGTGTGTGTGTGTGTGTGTGTGTGTGTGTGTGTGTGTGTGTGTGTGTGTGACTGACTTACCAAAAGCATCATTGTGTTGGAAAATCATGGAGTTACTTTCATTTTTCCACCAATGTAACAGTGGTGAATCGGGTCCAGTATGTTTATAAGTGTCCGAACTTATATAAACACCTGTCAGTGTGACTTCCTAATTTTCTGTGCCCTTTTATCATTTCAGGTTTGCCGATTATGGCTGCATGCTAGAGATCAGGGATGTAAAGTTTTTTCCTGATGGGCGTTCAGTTGTTGATACGGTTGGTGTTCGTCGGTTTAAGGTCTTGAACCATGGTCAACGGGATGGGTATAACACTGCGAACATTGAATATCTTGAAGATAAAAAGGTGATCTCTTGTGCATTCATTTTTCACTTAAATGGTCTCTCCCTGACACATCTCAAGTTGAAGTTATTTATTTACATGGTCATAAGGCACATTTTCTTTATTTCTGAAACCATGGAATAAATTATTTTGCCCTTCTGACTGTAACTAGCTCTCTGTAGTTTAATCCTCTCTGCCAGTGGTATTTGTCATCATAAATCTCAGGGTAGCTTTCAAACCTTTGATACTCGAAAAGATACAACCTACCATGTCCTGGTGTTTAGATCAGGTTCTAAAGTAGCAGTTAAAAATGACACTGGTTCAAGACCCTTCTAAAGACACACATGTCTAAGTTTTATTAAAGTGCTTAAGATTCTATATTTTGCACTGATGCACAGTATCTGTTTCTAGCTCCCACAGATGATCTGACCTCGCCACACACTGAATAGAAAAGCTTTTTTTTTTTTTTTTTTTAAGGTAGAACCCAGAAGAGAACTTGGTACTAATATATTTTGTTACTCAAATGCTTGTGTATGCATGGCATCTAAGGAAATTTACCAATTAAAATAACTTTCTTTTCTAAAATCTGGTGATTTCTAAAATTTAGCGAAATCATGTGTTGGAATTTATTGGCCAAAACCAGAATGGCCTGCATAATGGTCTAGTCTTATGCTGGATATCTCAAATGAGTGCCAGTAAAACAGTGATACCACTTCACAGTGCGCTCATTGGAGAGTTCAGGCCAGTGGATGGCATTAGAAAAGTCCAGTCAGGTCACATGGTTCTCAAGCAGACTTTCACAGCTAACTGCAAGCCTGTTAATTTCTAGGAGGCTTCTCCCAATTTGTGCTGTGCAGTTCAATTGCTAACAAGCACACAGAAAAAGAGAATGGGGATAAAATGTCTCTTCAAGGTTAAAGTGGTCTAATATCCCATGTTACCGCTCAGGGTCCCCACTGAGTGAAGGTGAAGTATATAGTCAAATCAGATGTTTGTGTATGTTGGCAGAAACCTTGTTAATATCATCCCCGGTACTGGGAAGTCAGTCTCACTTACATACTTGTTTTGTTTCTCCCTGCCATCCTTCCACTACTCCCTTGACCTGAGAACCACTTCTACTGTATTTGAAAACAACACTACTTCTTTGTAGAATCCCCTTAATGCAGAAGCCCCAGGAGGAGGGCTCCTCATTCTCAATAAGAGAAATTCCTAATCAACTGAAGACTCCAATAGAAATACTTGCTGAAAGGACCTAAAACTTCTGTAGGAGAGATCAAAAAACCAAACTGGCACCAGTTTAGTATGCATGAGACTTATGCACCACTTTGCTAGCTGGAGATATCCACGTTAAGTGGCATAACCATCCCTTAGTAAGGAGTAGTTGTTGCTGTTAAGCATAATTGGGTTTAAATTGGCTCCCTCTGAGGCATTTAAATTGTACAGAATATGAAATCTGATTTTGTATCCTCCTTTTTTGTTGTTGTTGTTTGTTTTGTTTTTCTTGGTAAGGCGGAGGGAGCAGAGTATGAAGAACTTGTCCGTCTTCATGATTCGGTTTATGATCAAGCTGTTGCCTGGTTTACTTCCCTTAAAGACAACATGAAAGCACAAATTCTCAATCATTTTGGATCAATGCCAGGAAAAGAATCGGAGCCACAGGTAAATATTTCCTAAACATGCACTACTGCCATAGATCTATGGATCTCCCAGACAAATATCTGATAGAAGGATCTGTTGTGTCTCATACATACCAAGCTTATTAATGATTACCCAGTTCTGGTTCACTAGAATCAAGGTTGGAAAAACTTTGCCAACTACTCCCTGTGGTTTTGGCTTTTGAAGATGTCATTGCTACTTAATTGCACAAAGAGGAAACCTTTGAAGTTGGTGTAGAGCTCAAGAAACCCCCAATATATAGATGGGCATTAGTTGTATCTACTAAAATAGAGGAAAAATGGGAGGGAAGATTGCTAACACTAACCTGTAATCCGTAAACACGTATCATATTTTTTTTTTTTTTATTTCTCTTGCAGAGTAACCCCAGTGGCCCAGCCTGGTACTGGTGGCTATTGGCAGTGTTGCCATTAGAAAACAGGGCTCAGCTGGCTATACTTGCTATGACTTCCCTTAAAGATCGTCTTATTGCCATCAGACGTGTATTAATATTTGTAACACGCAAGAGACCCAGATGACATGGACTTAGCTGTGAACAGGCACTGACTGTATGTTGGTAGATATGTTTTTAAAAACCGTCATGCAGAGATGAACAGTTCTTTCTGGTTGTGTCTGACATTCGCTATTCTGGATGTTCACCAAACTTTGCACTCTACTCTGTAATTAATAAGCACTCTGTGCCTGTCGTCCTAGTGAAATCTGAGCCCCTATGAAGTTGTGCTACAATTACAATGTAGTTGGTAGTTGTGGATAACTACTTTGAAGTACTATTCCTAATCAAGAGTTGATGTTTCTAGCCTGTGAGAGACTGAGTTTTATGTACTAGAACACCACAAATGGCCTATGTGCAGTTTGGATTTACACTTTGCAAGAATTATTTTCCCTTCAATGGATCACAGACTGAAGATGGACTTATTACAATTTTCCTGAGATGGTCAGCAGAAGGGAAACCGAACTTTCCTGTGGATAAAGAATGCACAAAGTGCATAGCTGACAGGATGTTCTCTTAATGAGTTGGTAGATTCTCTCTGCACTTTGATCTACTTGTTCAAGAAATATTGGTCTATAAAACAATTTTCAAGATTAAGGTTTTGGAGGTTGTCCAGGAGCGTAGTATTTACATGGTCACGGCTGTGTGTCAGAAAGAGTAGTAGCTACTGAACAGCAATTTGGTAGTCTTAAGTAATCCCTTGTGTTGTGATTTGCATGTTGTAGTGGAATGAGTATATCAAATGTCAAAAGTGTGCATTTATTTTTATAAAATCAAAGTAATCCCAGCAGGTCTGTTATCACTAAACACAAACCAAACAAATTCTCTAAAACATGAAACTAGTCAAAGGCTATTGTGAAATAGCTATTTCACTCCAAATTCTGGGAAAGCATGCTGTAGTACTCAGCTGATGTGTGTTCTTAAAGTAAACTTGGCTAGGATAAGCATTGGGGAAGATTCCATTTCCCTTCCCACCTTCAAATGATGTGCCAAGCTAATGTTACATTAGAACAATATTTGTTAGAACTTTGTGTTTAAAAGTTGGTGTTATGTTTTATATCATAAGTGCTGCACATGGTTAGAACCTTGGTCTGTGATGACATCCATAGAAGGAGGTCCAAACTAAACACTAACAAAAGGCAAGTCTCAATGCAAGCTTAAGTCAGGTGTCCTCTTCATTTGTTTGTCTTGGTTTTTAATATATTGGTTTTGTTAATATCTTTCTTTGATAGCTATTGAATATGTTGCTGGTTAGTCAAACTACTTAGTTTTCTAAATAGCCACTGAAATAATGAACAGTGTTACTAATTTAATTGTGTAGCTTCCTATAAGTAGAAGTAATTTTACCAACATGAAAAGTTAGCCAGAATCTGTGCGCTCAAAGTATAGCGAGATGCTTTTAGAGACACTTGTTCATGTGCAACACTCTGGTATGATAAAAATGGTGTCTTATCTACATGTTTAAAGTGCCTAGTTTTTAGTTTGCTTTGAATCTTTTTTTGTTTTGTTTTTGTCCATGAAGATATATATTAAATATTTGCACATGAGTTCTAGAAGAAAACTGCATAAACAAATGCATTAACATGTATTGACTGCTTTCTTGGATACTGTAATTACAACTTTTGTGGTCTGGGAAACTAAAGTATCTAGTACAGTGGGTTTCAAACTTTTTTCATTTGAGGTCACTTACAAAAAACTTCAAATGGAGGTGTGGACCCCTTTGGAAATCTTAGACACAGTCTATGGATCTGCAGGGGTCCATGTACCACAGGTTGAAAACCAGTGATCTAGTTAACTTTTCTTTCAGCAAACCTTTACCAGAAATGGTTTCTGTAACCTGCTCTGAATGTACTGTAATTGCCTCTACCTTGAACGCGCCTTTTCTAGTTAAATAGTGATTTGTAATTTATCCTTTGAATTGTGAAGTGCATAACTTACAACCAATGATGTCGTAATCTCCACAATAGCCTTGCTGCAAGTTCTGCTACCGTCATAAGAGTACTAAAAGTAAAAGCTGTATGAGATTCCCGAGAGGGTTGAGAAGGCATCCGAGCCCCAAAGCTGCAAACAAAACAGCTTGAAGTCTTTTGGGGCACTTCCCCCTCCATCCATGCATTAGTAACTCTCATACTTCACCCCAGTGTTTTTCCAGTTAACCCATTTTAGACTACCAGCACTTTAGGTAGTTCACCTTCAGAGTTTGGCAACCCAACTCATTTTCAGTTAGGAAAATGAATTCTCTTTGTGAACTTTCACATCGTTTTTTGTTCTGTATGCCACTCTTGTCGTCATTGTCCTTGCTGTCTTTGTCTTACTCGTCCATGTCTCTCTCCTTGTCCGTTCATGCATTGAGTTTTAATGTTTTGGCTGCAAAGGGACATCGGCAGAATCATACAATCCTAGACCTTGCACCTGCACAGTGTTACATGTGAGCTTAACCTTACACAGATATGCCTCCTTTTAGAATTGAAATGTTAGTTGCTGTCTCCTGGATTCTAATTACTGAAGGCAATGTGAATTTCTCCTCTTTGCAAAAGGCAGTGATTTAAGATGTCTGTCCTTTAAGTACTTTTAAAAGTGAAAAAAAAAAAAAAAAAGTGTTACCTTTAATACATCATGGAATAGCAATAAAGAAGACGTAAGATTGTCTAGCTTTTTTGCATTAACTTACATGACAGTCTAAGGATGCCAGGATAACTAATGAAATGTCATCACTTGAGGGAAAGCTGAGCGACAGAATTTTTGGTGAGTTTTTAACTATTTCTAGCACAATGGGATCCTGGTCCATGACTGGGGCTCCTGGTGTTACGTTAATACAAATAATTAATATTTGTTGTTAAACACTTAAGTGACTAACATTTTGGATAAATAATATGAAATCGTCAGTATCTGTATGCAAATGTTAAACTAACAACCCAAACTCACAGTTTCTTCCAAAACCTCAAATACTGGATCATATAGCAAAGCTAAAGAGAAACCCTGTTCATGGGCACATAGTCTCTAGGGGTAGAGTGCATGCTTTATTCCTACCAAGTTCTCCTGTCGTGGTTTGTGCAGCAGCAAATAGATGGAGGAACAAGTTGCCTCTTCTCTGTATTAGAGGCAAATGTCCATATTGCAGCTATCTTACATCTTTACTTAGTTCTGGTCTCCATGGTACAATATTGAAACCGTGAGCTAAGCAGCTGGAAAAAGAAAGGGGGGAGGGATAGCTCAGTGGTTTGAGCATTGGTCTGCTAAACCCAGGGTTGTAAGTTCAATCCTTGAGGGGGCCATTTAAGGATCTGGGGCAAAAATCTGTCTGGGGATTGGTCCTGCTTTGAGCAGTGGGTTGGACTAGATGACCTCCTGAGGTCCCTTCCAACCTTGACGTTCTATGATTCTATGAAAAGACAGGTGTTTCGCTGCCCTTTAACACACTACATTTTTCATACTTATTTCCTAGCTTGGGCAATGTGGTAGGAAAGTCTCCACTTTGGAGAGATCCTTTATACATCATAAAGAAACAAAAATGTCCAAATCTATTTTTTTCCCCTTGTAAGACTTCACAAAATATTTTGTAGCTTCACCTTTCAAGAAGCTTGTAAATTGTGCCATCAAGGCCTTTATCTACTGTATTTTAACATGTCCAGTCTGTGTTTCATTTAATCGATTGCTTTGGACTTCTAACATGCTGATGATCAGTTCAGTTTCTTACTGCTTCCCTTTCTCATGCTCCAGTCCATTTTGAAACTGAAATATAAAGCTATTGTTCAAAAAGCTGTACTCTCGGTTCATATTACCTTTCAGACTGGTGGAATTGGTATTTGGTAGCGCCTTAAATCTGCAGTTGTGAAATGATTGTATCAATAACAAAATCTCATCTGGGGCTTGTGACCAGATTAAAACAAGTATGTGTAATGTAGATAAACTTGAAACAATTTTTTTACTGTTTTAAAGCTAGTTATGAAGCTGTATGTACATATGTATAAATATAAATTAAACCGCCATTTTGTATTTAGTAAATTCAGGACAAGTCCATGTTCTAACCACATTTGGTACTTGTTGCATAAGCAAAGCCAAACTTTTTTTAAAAATTGCAATGTTCATTTCATGTATATTTGCAATGTTCATGGGAAATGTATTTAATTTATGTGACATTTTGAATAAACAGATCACATTTAGCAGTGTCTTTTTTAACAAAAACCCATCCTATGTGAAATGTTAAGGTTACTTGGAAGTGTGCATGTGTGTATCTATTGCTGTTAGTTTGGATTTAGGGCTGTAGGCCCTTGTAATCAGTTTCCATTAGCACTTCTTGTAATTTTAAACACCTTAATTGTCTGTAAATCTGTCTTGGGGCAGACCACTCAGACAACACATGCGTGTTTTCCCAAGAATGCTTCTTTAACATGATGTGGAGTAGGGGTTGGAATTTTTATTTAATTGGGGTCCACAAACTGTTGCAAGTCTGAAGCTCTTTGTAAGAGGTCCTGGTGATTATAGATCACAAGTGAAAGAGGATGGTGGCAGAATGTATTACACTTCCTGTATCAAAAGGTACTCTCGGGTTTCCTTTTTTCTCTTCCTCTTTGTAGTCTTTTCTGGCACTTAAGCACCTCTTTTCCCAGTTGATCCCTCATGAGATCCGCTTTAAAGCGGTAGGAGTCTCTCACTCTTCAGTAGCTATGACTAAGGCTATGTTTTAGTCATGGGTATTTTTAGTAAAAGTCATGGGGAGTAAACAAAAATTCACGGCCCGTGACCTGTGCATGACTTGTACTATATACCCCTAACTAAAAGTTGGGTGGTCTGGGGCCAGCCCAAGGATGCCGCAGGTGGTAGAGGGGGCGGGGGACCCCCGCTTCTGTTGGAGAGGGGGGCTGGCAGGCTCCCTGGAAGCAGCAACATGTCCTTCTGCTCTTAGGTAGAGGCATGCTGCCCCCGCCCCAAGTTCCAGCTCCACAGCTCCCATTGTGGGGGTGGCGCCTGCAGGGGGAGGCAGCACGCACAGCCACCTGGCCACGCCCTTAGGAGCCAAGGGACATATTGCCGCTTCCATGGAGCCCCCCACCAAGGTAAGTGCTGCCCAGAGCCCTCACCCCCTCCCGCACCCCAACCCCGTGTCTCAGCCCGGAGCCCCCTCCCACACTCACTCCTGCTGGGGTGGGGGCACGGTGGCCCAAACCTGGCCCAGCAGCAGCTGGCCCAGGGGCTTCCTGAGCTGCTCAGGCGGCCCCCAGGTCAGCTGCATCGGCCGCTGCAGAAATCACAAAGGTCCCGGAAAGTCACGGAATCCGTGACCTCCATGACAGACTCGCAGCCTCAGCTAGAAAGCTGTCTCCTTTCTAAAGAGAGGCTAAACCAGAAGCTTTCTAAGATGGACTCTCTACTAAGTATCAGAGGGGTAGCCATGTTAGTCTGTATCCACAAAAACAACGAGGAGTCTGGTGGCACCTTAAAGACTAACAGATTTATTTGGGTAATTCATGGGTAAAAACCCCACTTCTTCAGAGGCATGGAGTGAAAATTACAGATACAGGCATAAATATATATTGGCACATGTAAGGTAACGTGTATATATTTATGCCTGTATCTGTAATTTTCACTCCATGCCTCTGAAGAAGTGGGTTTTTTACCCACAAAAGCTTATGCCCAAATACATTTTAGTCCAATGGCACCTTAAAGACTATCTACTGTTCCTTTTTTTCTTTTTTTTCCATCCCAGGTTCTCTGAAACCTTCCTAGTGTCTTGAGCATCCTTTTGTTTGTTTCTTTTATTTATTTACTTTTTCCCCCTCTCAGCTGCATCTTGTCAGCATACAAGTGTAATGTAGTTCCTTTCTTGGCCAGTCAATGCCATTACTGAGGCATCTGGATGAGATGCTGAAAACTAATGTAGCTGAGGCACTTTCCACTGCCATGTCATGGCACCCCTGAGGTACTTCAGGAGCTTGTCCTAGAGTGAGTAATTAGGTCAGAGACCTATGGTTTGGGGTTAAGAAAATTAAAACCAGTCCCAATGACCATTTTAAAGGAGGCCAAACTCAAGGCTAAAATAGCCAATTAGAGTCAATTGGACAGCAGTTGTCTCTGTTCAGAAGCTCTATTTAGTGTACAGTAATGCTAGAATTTTTTGAGACCTCTGCCATTCTTGGTGGATAGTGTGCTGTGGTCTAGGCATTGCCAGTCATTCTTACACCATGCTACCAAGAAAAATGGAAGGCTGCTCCCTGAGATCTGGGCCTAAAATAAACTTATTTCTGTCTTGGCCAGGTTTGTCAGTGGAGAAGTAGGTAGCTGAATTGTCATTTTCCCCCTCACCCCTGCTAGAAGCCTAGGAAATAATCTAGAGTTGGAAGCCAAACAAAATGGCTAAGGAGTGAAAGGCATCAGATAGCTGACACAGGTTAGACTCCCCCAAGTGCAGGCTAAGTAGAAAGAGCTGGACCTATAAGAAGGTGGAGGAAACTTTTGAGGATCTGATATTTTCACTGTGGTATCTGATAGCATGGGAGTCAGTGCAGCATATGCCTGCAGATAGAGCAGCTGCTGAGCAGGAGAGAAGAGGGGATTTTGGATGAGGTGCGATGGAACAGTTGGAAATGAGATGCAGATGACAGGAGCCTATCACTGCAGAGAATATGTAAAGGAATCTGTGTGACTACAGAAACTGTCTGTTTCAGTGAGAGGAAGAGGCTGGGATGAGCAAGAGAGAAAGTAATTGCGTTATTTGTATTCTAAATAAGTGTCTCAAGGCCCTGAGGTGAGTGGGGTCCGGTT